GACGGGCGCGGCGGGACGAGGGACAGTTTTTAACTGTTAAGGGGCACTAATATTTACTTTCCTACGCCGCTGCGTTATCCCTCTCCAGAGGTCATCAGCACAGTCGCATCCTGTGTCTGCTTTTAAAGGCCCCCATGGACAAAAAGGGTATTTCAGGGTGGGGTGTGCGTGGCGTAGCGGTAGGGAGCTGTGCCTAAAAGATCGGCGTATGTTTTTATTGGTGGTGACAAACTGCGTGTGAGCTAGTGTGGGTTTTCAGTTAGCTCTCTTGATGCCTTGCAAAGGAATACATTTGTACTGCTCAGCTCCTATGGCTTTGTCAGTGTCAGACAAAGTAGGATACTGCTGTTTTCCTCAAGGTCTTACTTTCTGTGTAGAAAACAGACAACATGCAAAAGAAGTTCTATGCAAGGCTGTTGGAAATTTTTCATTTCTTTGGGGACTGAATTGGAAATACATACACTGGAGTAAGAGGATGAGCGCACACGAGATCAGGAATATAGGTGGAAGAGCGAAACAAGGAAAGAAGCCAAACAAAAGAATATTAGCAAAGTGCTTCACATTTAAATGCCCAAACTATTCTTTTTGATATAATGAAAACCAAGGAAATATTCTGGACCACCTGCACCATCAATCTGAATTAATTTTACTTTTCATGCATTTGGGAATGTTTTTAACAAATGTTGTCTAAAAAAGAATCCTGACTAATGCAGAGGCTGTTTGTTTTCCGTAGCCCACAAGCGGTGTTCTGTACAAAGAGGATAACTACATCATCATGACCACTGTGGATAAAGAAAAATATAAATGTATACTTCCACTTATATCCAGTGGCAATGAGGTAAGTTCAGTAGATATTTTTCATAATTATATGATAAGTCCCTATACCATCTTTTAAGTTACCTTTTTTTCCTATAAAAAGAAAAATAATCTACAGAATAATTAACATTTTCACCATTTATAACAGATGCATTCATTTGCTTCCAGATGCTATCTTTATAGAAAGCATAGCCCCTCTGAGCAGTCCTCATTTGTAACATGTGGTTGCTCAGATATACTATAAATTGATAGGTTTATCCATCCCCATCATGAGTTTTACTTCTGGAAGGTCAGCAAAAAATCAACACTGATCAGAAACTTTATATAACTAACTAAATAAATGTATTTTAAATAGCAGTATCAAATTCTATGACAGTAAAGTTTCCTTCTCCTTCATCTTCTCCCAAATTGGAAACACTGAATGCACAACCCAGAGCTTGAGTTTTAAAGCATATGAACGTGTTTGTTTATACAGAAGAAAATAGATCGAGGAAGTCCATCTTTTTTTTTGGAAATTGGTGAGGATTATCATTGGTCTTTAGTCTCTACAATGGTTCTCGTGTTCACGCCATGCAAGAGGCTGCCCAAAGAGGCTGTACCCCCATGGCAGGAACCTCCCTTCTGACAGAGCCTTCCTCCTTTAGGTGACTAACAGTAGAGAGTACCTCAACATAGGTGAGAAACCTTTAGTTCTGAAGAACTTTGCAGTGCGTATTTTTTCAACAGCATGCATATTTGTAGAGAAAAAAATATGCAGAAATCAACTTCTACAGTATTATGTATGCCTTTCCGATCCATTTTTTTAATTCAATAAAAGCTGTATTACCATCCAGTCGTACTGTGTGAATACATCGATGTGGGAATCATCAAAGGGCTTAGGTTTAGGGCCAGAAGCCATTTTATTGAGCATCAGACCAAACTTACATATATTCTCGGAGTATGTGAGCATACACTGTCCACACACTCCCTCCCCCTGCCTCCAGCCAATGCCTTGACTATTGCTATCTGGGTCCAATCCTGCTGACAGACAACAGGTAACCAACCAGAGATCGGTGCGCCAGCCTGTGTTTTAGGTTTCTCTATCTGCTAATCTGTTATTCCTAACTTTCACGGTTTCTCACTCCTAATTTTCACTGTTCCCGCAGCTTCCCACAGTTTCTCACTGTTTCTCAGTTTCCCACACATCAATACTGATTACCAAATTTTAAAAAAATTGATAGTTTTCCTGCTCTTGTCCCAAGCTGCCAGTCTTGACATGAGCAAGTTGAGAGCTACTACTCTTGCGATACATGTATGTCTTAAAAGCACAGATTTTTCTTCTAGTTTGACTCCGTGATTTGTAACTTTTGTTTGTCCTTCCTTACTGAACTAAATTATCTTCTAATGTCAATACAGTCCCTTCATGGCAGGAATTAATGAGTTCTTATGTCTTTAATTTTGCAGTAGTTATTTTTATTTGTTTCAAGTGAGTAGTACCAGACTGCCTTTAATTTTGATTAATTGAAATATCCTTTTCTTCTAGGAAGAAGAGAAGGACTACAAAGGTCCTACTCCAGGAGAATTGTTGGAACCACTTTTTAAGCAAAGTAGCTGTTCGTATAGAGTATGTTATTGCTACACTAATAGCTTGGCATGTTAATCACAAGTTAACAGCTCAGCTTATTTTAACATTCCATGTTCAGTGTAGTTGTCAACTGTGTGAATAAGGGTTCTTCAGGTAGTAATTCAGTCTGAAACAAATTCTCTACATCTTGATAATTTTATCTTGATACTACTGTAACAGTCTAAATAGTTGAAGATCTTGGGATACAAATAAACAGTGTGACTATAGTAGTAATTTATAAATGAGGATTTAAAATGTTTACTTCCAGGAGTCCATCCTTACTTCACAGTCTGGAATGAAAAACATTCCTCAGAAAACATTAGAAGATCAAAACAAATATACTTCTAGATAACCAACTATCATCACTATTTGAAAGTTTGTTTCCTCAAACCTATTAACAAACAAGCGGTTGTTGAGGAGCCACAAATCACAGAAACTTCAGATCTCACAGAAGTTTTAGAGGAGGGGAGACTGGGTCAAGCCCAACTGCTAAATAGTTCATATCTGTGCAGAGACCAAAAATAGTCTGTGCTGAGTCACCAGCTTAACCCCAGTGGTAAAGAGAAAAATAGCTCAAACCTTCCCCCCCACCCCGCTGTGTTATGTCTGTGCAGAAATGAAGGAAATTTTGTCATCTGTGTTTATTTGGAACCAGTTAAAAACCTTAGGCAACATTGAGGACACCTGCTGTGCTACTACTTGTGAGGGTGCTTTTATCCACCTGCTTGGGCCAGATATTTTAGATTTTTACTGCCAAGGCCAAAAGTTTGGGGGAGAATGTCTTTTTCTGAAATTGCTCACTTACCTGTCAGGAGACAGTCAGGCAGTCCCCCCGCCCCCTTTTTTTTTTTTTTCTTAAAGATTGAATCTTACTGGACTTATGAAGTCTGCCATGGAAAACATATCCGTCAATATCATGAAGAAAAAGAAACTGGTCAGGTAGGTTTCTTGCAATTTAATAATTTCAGTCCCCTTTTTGCTTAACCTCCAAACAGGCTATACCTGCTTAACCTTATACCTGCTTAACTTTTCAAAAAGGCTTGAAATCATATGGCCTTGAAAATGTATGGAAAATGATAACTGAAACACTTCAACTTTTTTTTTTTTTTTGATTGTAGAAAATAAACATCCAAGAATACTATCTTGGGAATATGATGATAAAGAACCCACTATCAGAACCAGGTTTGTCTTAGTTTATTTTGTTGATGCTAATTAATTCTTTTGGCTTTAATTACTACATTCTGAGAAATGTGCTGAAACTTCTGCAGAAAATTATTTCTAATGTGAAAGGATAGTGGAATTCTGTGGATTACTCTTTCTACCAAACCTGTTTTCAGTTAATTCCTTCTCAGTGCCCTACATCACATCCATCCTGTCAGTTTTGCCATACTATATACCATACAATAGGGTCAGGTAGAAAAAATATGTAGGATAAGAAAAAAATGAACTGATATTTACTTGACATGACTGACTGATATAATGTAGTCTGCTTCCATTCTCTTTTTGAGTGTAGGGGAAGTGTCTTTCAAGCTATAAGCAGGGCACAGAGTGCGCAGCACATACTGGGCTCTGCTATTCTCTAATAAAGCAGAGTATACAAACCAGAGTTTCATAGCTTTTGCAGATGCATTTGATCCTTGGAATTGCATGAAAGACTTGAAGTACAGATCTGCAAAAATATTGAAGTGCCTGAAGGGGAACTTCAGTGAAATTTGGGCAGCTGAGTCCCAAGCTCATTTCCTAAGCATTTGCATTATTGCAGGTGCTGAAAGTTCTGTTTGTACCTGCCAATGCCTGTTTCCCTGCTGCACAGGGCGGAGCATTTTGGCACTACATTAGTCCAAAGAATTCTAAAAATCCACAAATTCAGTGCTCATCATCAGATTAAGTGGAAACAATAGAAAGTATATCAGCATTGAGTAGTTTTTTAAATTCTGAGCTGGGATGTAAAAAGCGGGTGCCACCATTTTTCTCCTCCTAAAAGTGGTGGCTTAAATGCCTATGTCCTAGGAAGATTTGAGAGCTACAAATTCCATGCCTTCGAGTGGCTGCCTGCAGCCTTCAATTAGGTGTCTTAGTTCTGAACAGAAACAGGGGTTTAGAAACGTTGCATTTTTTGGCATTTATTATCAAGTTAGGGTGCTTGTACTGTTATTAATCCTGTGCAGAAGTGCCTAATTTTCCCTAGCTGCTCCTGTACAGAAAGCAGATGTCTAGTTTTTATGACTCTTTTTCTTCGGGCCGAGATGTTAGAGTTGCATGTAGTGATAATTCAGATCATCAAATCCGAGACTTTCGGGATGTTGGTCCTCTGTCCTTTCTGCTTGGGTGGCAGATTTTATTATTTCTATGCTTCCTATACAGAAATTCATGCTACTTCTCTTAAAAATTAAAATAGATTGTGAGATGAGCCCTCAAGTGTGTCACAGTAAGCTTGGAACAACTGAACGGGAGACAGCAAAGCCAAATTGCGTTTCTCTCCATTCTTTCACTCTGAGTGGGGTCCAGACTACGTCCTGAAACAGCTGAGACTGCTAAGGAGAACTTTAACCTGTGCCAAACTGTCACTCCCCTAGTGTGGATGTTTACTCTCCTGATCATCTGTGTGCCATGCACCCTCGCCTAACTTCTTCCTCCAGCTCATATAGCGGCTGAGACTAGTGGGTGGGCTGAAGTACTTAACTGCTTTTTACTGTCCTGGCCTATAATTCACACACTTTGAAAGGTACAATCAGCTTGCCCTCAAACAATAGCAGTACTGACATATTATTCTGGCCTATATGACCTTACTGTTGTTCTAGGGCTGAATTTGGCCAGACAAACTCATAAAATTGTTTCAAAATGCTAACTCATATTTTGTTCTGTTTGCTATGAATCCCAGATCACTAGGTTTGGTTTTTTTTTCCTTTCTTTCCTCTTTTGCACCTGCACCTTGGTGAAATTGACTCTGACAGCTTATAAAAAAATACAGCAAATACACAAAACATAAACTTCTCTTTGTATATACTTTCATTTTATTTCAAGTTCAAAACGTTATGCTTACCTCATTCTTAATTATTCCCTAGATCAAGAAGAAAAGGAAAATCCAAAAGAGAGTGCAAAAGAGGCAAGTGAAAAACATCTATTTTAATTTTTGCCATCAATAGTAGAGGCAATTTAAATATGATGACAAAATATAATTAGTGCCCTACTTAAATTAGTATCAATAAATGAAATTGCTTTCCTGAGCTGCACTCTTCTCACTTTTGACTATCAGTCCTGTCTCAAAAAGCTTATTTGATCTGTTTTATCGAGTTTTGTGTCCTTCCAGTTATTGGACATCAAATTTGTTCAAATCTTAAACTCGAAAGAGACAAGAATTACTCTTCCACGTTGAAGACAATACACACACAAACACAAAGTTACATTATAGCAGCAGTCATTTTTCTAGCTACATCATAGATGTAGTTAGAGATTCTTTTAATCAGAGGTAGCTCCATGCATTTGGCCTAAGAAGAAACGCTTAACAAACTCTTACAGCACTAGTCTTGCTGAATCCCTAGTGGATCTTTCAGCTGACTTGTTGGCCCATCCCATAAAACTCCGCTCTACCTTTTTCTGTTAGCGAACATTTGTATTTGATTGGGGCCAAAAACTCTATTCTGAGTTACCTTTTATAATGGATTACCTAAATATTTGAAGTTCAGAATTAGCAACAACAGAGCTGACCTGAGGAAAAAATGTAACATCTACCTTATTTCCAGTTATCCTTCATGTTAATTGCTCAAAACATATGTCTGCATGTTCCTTGTGGTACCAATTTACTTAGCAGAGAGTGGTTCCTGTTTTGCGATGGATCTCAGAATGCATTAGGGAGGTAGTTTCAGAATAAGTGAAATCTTTTCCTGACTTTTTCAGCAGTTCTTATGATGTTCATAGACTGTCTGCAGTCTCCAAAGAATTTAGATTTGTAATTTTAGTGGAATCTGTAGCCATGAAAGAGAGAAGTCAGACAAAACAGGAAAGATGTACTTAAAGTAACCAAAAAGAACCACTGAGGCTGAGGTTTTATCTTAAATCCTACATAGGAGCCTTTCAGGTGGGTGCAGACAATAATTGTCTCCCTTTGTGTGTCTTTAATAGTGACCTTCAGGGAGATGCTTGGGCAATCTTTCAATATTTAAGGAGAAATTGGTTGTTTCCTTCTAAAGGGAAGAGAGGGCATTGGTACCCCTTTTACCAGCTAGTTTGTATAGTCAGAATATATATTCAGTTCCCAGCTTTGACTGAATATTCAAGTATAGAATGGAGGACTTACTGGAAGCAAAGGGTGCTTAACCAATCAAGCTATTGTCATGTCCATTCTTTCACCTCATAAATATCATATCCCTTCATTCCGTCATGATAAACAGTTTCAGTAGGAAAGAGTCAATGGCCTATGAGTAGATTAACATGTGTTTGATAACAGAGGGAGGGGAGATATAAAAGATCACAAGTCTCCTGGGTTGGTGTCATGAGCGTGAAGGCAGCCAACACCATTTAGAACAGAGCCTGATTTCTAGTGCACTGACAATATTCACCTGTTGGAACAACACAGGTAGAGAAAGGTCTCTCCTGTAGATTCCAACATGGCTTTTGCATAAGCAGAACTTGGGTACCCAGGAACTTTAGCAGCATTCAGGATAGAAACCAGGAGAGGGGGAAATTATGAGTTTGAGGAGTCAATTTGCCAAAGTAAAAATCAGACAAAACTTGAACACCTAAGTCCAATTATGACTCCAGGTTCCAGTGCCCTTAATATTCTGTCTGGACAAAAAAAAAAAAAAAAATGGCATGATTATGCACCACTAATAATTGTATTCACGAGCCATTAATGAGAGTTGCTAAGGTTCTATTGGAAAAGCGTTTTTAAAGATGAAGAAACAACTCTGAAGAGATATTATTTAAAATGTATACAGAATGAAGGAAAGGGAAGGAAAGGTTTTTATCTGGGATTTGTAAAGTACTTTTACTTTAAAAGCTTTCTTTAAAAAAAGTATTTTAGATGAAGATTTTAAACTTTATCAAGTGGGATTTGCTTTGTATGTTGTTACTTTGTTTGTATTGTTAACTTTCTGTTAGACAAGGTAACAGATGGCTGAGATGCTCTGAGTAAGGGAAAACGCGGACTATATCTGGTAAGGGGTGCAGTGCAGTGCAGATACCTGCAAGGCCTTGCCTGGTGCCGTGGTCTCCGGGATCTGGCACTGCAGTGAAGGTAACGTGCTTTGTCAGACCTAAGCTGAGCCTGGCAGAGCTCCTCACCTCTGTCTGTCTCCTAGGCTGCATCTCTGAAAAATGTAGCACTTGGCTGGCAAGATTTCTTAGAACTGAAACATTGGGTAACCCATAGAGCCTCCAGCTGCTTTTGCAACCAGACCTGGCTGTGCTTTGTAGTCCAGCCTCGGGTGGCTTGGTGCATTTGTGCAGTGCTGTGCTGGAGGTAGTGAGCCAGAACCTGTTTGGCTGCAGCAAGAGGCAAGGAAACTTTATTGTGATCCTTCACTTTTGTTTTCTTTCACCTAGATACCTACAAAAAATATAGAAGGGCAGATGACTCCGTACTACCCTGTAGAAATGGGAAACGGCACGCCTTGTAGCTTGAGACAAAACCTACCCCGATCAAGCACAGTGATGTACATCTGCCATCCAGAAGCTAAGCATGAGATCCTCTCCGTAGCCGAAATCACAACTTGTGAATATGAAGTGGTTATACTGACACCTCTCTTATGCAGCCATCCTAAATATAGGTACAGTACCCAAATCTTGGCTAACATTATGACTCAAAATTTTCATCAGCCATGCATGCCTGTGTTTATACAAGTCTTTTGTCCAGCTGTGGTTTCTTGTACAAAACTTCTGATATTTTCTGTGCAAAAAAGCACAAGAAAAAAAGATAGACACAAATCAATCAAATGGGTATTTGTAGTGATTTTAATAATAATAAAAATCAGGTCTTTACTCCAAAATGTAAGTTTTTAGCAGAGGCTTCTGAGCTACTAAGCAGTACTGAGAGTGTGCTGGCATACCTGTGTATACAATAGTAATAAATATTAAAGAATATAAGTGATATATCCATAACTTGTTTGGCCAGGTTCAGGGCTTCCCCTGTGAATGACATCTTTTGCCAGTCACTACCAGGATCCCCACTTAAACCCCATAACCTGGAACAGCTGGAGAAACAGCAAGAATTGATGAAGATGCCTTTTAGAAGAGTTAAGGAGGTTGGGTTTTTTTTTTTTTTTTTTTTTTTTTTTTTTTTAGGAAGTAATATTTTCCATGTTTCAATATGTTTAATTTTGATTTCAGTGGAATTATTCACAACTTCTCCCCAACCATCTAAGACCATATCAGTCTTTCAGATTGTCTTTATAAGTTTTTTGAAAACATCTGTAACTTACCATATTTAGAAAAAAGATAAATCAGTTAAGTTTTAAACTAGTAGCTCAGACTTATAGCCTCCTTACCTACTAGTTTACTAAGTCTCTAGGTTTTTGACCTTCCACCTTTTTTTCAACTATGCTGAAGCCTGTGGAAAAAGCACTGACAAAATGTTTTTATAGTTTTTCCCACAACCTATCGCTTTTATGGTCTATAAGAAGTTATCTAATATTAGATTTAGCAAGGGGCATATAAAGTCTAAATGGGCATATTTATGTATACTCTTAATTTCAGGAAGAAATGCATTCAACAAAAGAAGAGAAATTTTCTTCCATCCATAAACCAGTTGCTGTTGGAAACCACCAACTATTGACCGTGGGAACAACCCATATCTCCAAACTGACTGATGACCAGCTTATAAAGGAGTTTCTTAGTGGTTCCTACTGCTTCCATGGGGTAAGAAATAATTCTGTGTGCAACAAAATAGCTACTTTTTACTTATACATACTATTTTATAATTCTTAGTTCTTCATGGACTTTGATAGTTGAAATTTTGCCCTCAGCAAATTTTGCCTCACCTGCTTTGTTTCTCCTCATAAAATAGGTATTCTTCCTATTATTTCAATGTAAGTTCAAGACTTACTCTTACCCAGTTCTTGTCCTGGTTACAACCTTTTGTTTACTTTGTTTACTTGGTTGCTTCCAAAATAATTTCTCTGGCAGTGTTGCATTGTGCTCATTGTGCCCTATACATAGGTATCTACAGGGTCTGCATTAGTGTTTTTGTCTCCCTTCTCCACTAAATACTGTCATTCTGCTGTGCGTTGGAGGAAAAATTTATTTTGGGTGTAAACCAATTTCACAGTGGCCAGAAGCATGGAAAGTAGGAGCTTAATATTTGTAAATGACTCTCTGACTTTCACGTGCCTCATAGGTAATTCTTGCCTGGCCATGCTGGGTAAAATACAAAACTGAAGTAAATCTTTTACTGTTTGAGAGTAGCACTGGAGCCTTTCATTGTACAAGCCACGTCAACTTACGTGTTTTAACAGCATTATATACATGTATAATAGTTGCCTTTTCTCTTACTGATACAGAGAAGACTTAGGTACTTGTAAGCTTATGCTATTAGATTTACTGAAAGGTATCTTAAATCTTTCTGTTACATCTTCCTTGAATAGACAGTGAAATAAAAGTAGAAGGTAATGAAAACTGTTCTGTACTAATGTTGTTAATAAGAAGAGAAATCTGAGAAAATTTAGCAAACTATAAAGGGAAGAAGTAGGTAGGACAATGCATTAAAAAAGGGGATTAACTTAAGGAGACTTGGAGAACAGCCAAGGCTGAAGTTTTACCTGTCTTTGAAAGAACAAAACACTTTCTAAAAAACATAAATTGAGGGGACACAAATAGCTTTTAAAGAAAGCTGTGGCTCTTCAAGATCAAACAATCCATATAAAAAATAGATTCACTTCCAGTGCAATGCTGGAATTGTGTATCTGACTACTGGGTATGCAGTTTTCAGCTATAATACTCAGTGATTTAGAGTCAGGAAGAAAACTGGGCTGTATGTGTTTGGGGGGTTGGGTTTTTTGTTTGGTTCTTTTTTGTTTTAACTGAAATTATTTCTCTCCTTAGGGAGTTGGTTGGTGGAAGTACGAATTCTGCTATGGCAAGTATGTTCATCAGTACCACGAGGTAAGTTAAATGTTTTATATTCTGCCACTAGATGGCTACAGCTTCTCTTACTGAAACCAAAAGCCTGTAGGAATGGCATTTTTTTTTTTTTTTAAGTAGAGGCAACAGAAATATGTTTGTAAAAACAACCGAAACAGGAGCTCTTTTGCTCACTGAAACACGTCTCAGCCAATGCAGCCACGGTGGCTGTTGTGAAAAGATAATCAAATTGAGGCTTGATGCTTCATGCAGGATCATTCAACTGTGTCCCAAATGCAAGAACAGGGTACTGCAGACAGTAGAAGACTTGCTCTGAAATGATATGCTACTTGTCATTAAAACATGCTCACTGTTAAACTTGGGATACAAGGTAATTACCAGCTTTTCCTTTTTTAGGATAAGGAAAGTGGCAAGACTTCTGTGGTTGTGGGTACCTGGAACAAGGAGGAGCACATAGAGTGGTCCAGGAAGAATGCAGCTAGAACCTACTATCTCAGAGAAGATGGCACACAGACAGTTAGGTAGGGCTGCAGTCCCACGGCTGCTGCTGTACAGGGCTGTGTGTTCCTGAACTGGCCCCTTCCTTGCAAGGGGGAGGAGAAGGGGAAATACGGGAGGCTCTTCTGCATTTGGTAAATATTCATTTTACTAATACATAAAATAAACTATCAAGAGAAGAGCATATAGATTTCCCCCCAGTCAACGCAGAACATCCAAAAAGATAATTGAACACTTTGGATATGACACAAAGAAATCTTCCAGTGATTTCATTGTTTCTAATGAACAATAATCTGCTTCTGTAGTAATTCAAATACAACATATTGCTTTTTTCGTTCTGCATATTGGAGTTAAGCATCTGGAGAATTGAGAGATATTCTATTATGCAGCTTAGCTGTGTATTTAAGACTTTAATTTTTAAGACTCTCATGTCTAATATTTCCAAGCTTTCTCATTCCAAACTTTTGTGGCAGGATGGTGTCTCATTTCTATGGAAATGGAGATGTGTGTGACTTAACAGACAAGCCAAGGCAGGTGACTGTGAAGTTGAAGTAAGTTAACCTTTTGTATAAAACTGCATTTCATCTCAAACCTACATTTCATCTCTGCTTCATATGTCAGAGGGGAAAACCTTAACTGTCTTTTTCATATAACTTAGAAAGCGTTCACCGAGCTTCATAAAAAATGCTATAGATACTAACAAAATCCATATTTTGGTTTTATGCTTTTTCTATAGCAAATTGAGACTTTTCTCTTTTTCCCTTTTCAGATGTAAGGAATCTGATTCCCCTCATGCTGTAACCATATACATGTTAGAACCTCATTCTTGCCAATACATTCTTGGGGTATGTAAGCACACTTGGATTCACTCAGCGCTGGTGTTGCCTAGCAGAGCATGTCTCAATGTGCACATTACATGAAAAGTATGTGATCAGGTTTGACTTTAGCCTGTATTTGTATCAGCCAAAGAATAAAAACAAAGTTTTTGTTTTTAATTTGACAAGAGGAAGAGATTGTTCTACTGCAGTGAAAGCCTTTATAGCAACTATCTCTGGCAGGGATGGTAGTGTAATCCCTGGCAAGGGGACGCAGAGGTCACACGTAAAGATATGGTGGGTTTTTCAAACGCACTGAAAAATATTAATTTTATTTCAGTGTTATTGCTTAATCTTACTAAGATGCTGTCCTATAGTCACCTCTGTGTTCCTGAAACCTACTGTAGCTCTCATCTATTTTTTTTAATTTAAATTATTTTTATAGACTCTTCACAAAAGATTTTTGTCAATTACTTCAATCCTAATACATAATTGCTAAACAAATACTGCTTTTTGTTCAATTGCATTTGGTTAGTAAAAGGAGGGTTATTATTGATTACACTGTTCATATACTATAGAGTCAGTGCATAGAAGTAAAAGCGTAAATTTCACTTTTGCAAAGTGATGCTAAAAAATTCCTGTTGTAATATATTGAAATTAATCTCTTAAATCTCTGTTGCAGTTTTTTTTGTAAAAAAAATATACAATAATTTCAGTTTTTAACACTTTGATCTTTCATGTTCAAGGTGGAGTCTCCAGTCATCTGTAAAATTTTGGATACAGCAGATGAATATGGGCTCCTTTCAGTGCCCAGCTAAAGGACAGTAAAACCTGTGAAGAAAGCCATACCTGTCAACAACCAGCGGCCGTTTTCCCATCAACACCATTTCTGCGAGGCAACACAAGCCAAATTTTCAGGCAACCAACCTCACCAGCAGAACTCTATCACACCGGGGACTCATGAACCACTTTGTGTATAACTATGTGTATATAAGAGGTTATTGATAAACTTTTAACAATTAAAATCTTGTCTTGCACTTCCTGTTTGGCTTGTGTATGAGGAGTCCCAAAACCATGATTATTATCGAGGTATAAATTAGCACTTTGAAAAGGCAAACAAGGGCCAGCTTCGCATGAGGAGCTCAACTGTCGACAGAATGGAAGAAGGAAACCACATTCTGCTCAAGAGCCTTCAGTGGCCACTAGGAGAACGTTAGTGCTTCAAACACAAACACTGCATCAGTTTGACCATTTGGAACGGATTTGTATCACTGTCCTTCCTCCTGTTACCCCGCCTTTCCCCCACTCAGCTGTTATCCCTTCTTCCATCCTGGACTGTGTTCCAAGACCTGCTTTTATTTATAGGTACCTACGCTTGAGGGTTCATTTGAATGTATTTATTTTGCTGAACAGTCGCTCATTCACTTTTTGCATGGGAGGAAGCTCAGATAAAATATTTATGATCTATAATTTTAACATTAATGTGTCAATACTAGGTTTAGCTCAACCTCCTGACTTCTATATGTTCAGTGGCATGTTAGGCAAGTGTCTGAGTTGCTGCTTTTTCAGTAACAAAAAAACTTGCTGTATCTTCCACCTGCACAAGGCCAGAATAGAGGTCTCTTCTTAACATGTCTACCTTACAAATAAGGGTCTGGATTTTTGGGGTTTTTTTTGTTGTTGTTTGGCTGGGGTTTTTTTGTATAGGCAGATGAGTTGCAGTGTGCTGCTAATACAAATTTTTTACATATTCTTAAATGGAAGCTGAAAGACTGGATTTTTGAAGTGTGATGCAAGAACAGTTATCCAAAGTGCATTTCTGTTACACTTTTAAAACAACAGTTTTAAAAGGAGGAGGTTAAAAAGTACATACTTGAACTAGTGGTTTATGGCCAACCTGCCCTCAAGGACTTCCTTCCTCCAGGAGATCACTGGAGGCAACAGCCCATGTTGGTGTCTGTGCCAGCTGCCCGACTGACCCCTTGTCTTGTGACATTTCAATATCAGCACATATGTTTCCCCTTCCAAGGCGCTGTCTAAATCAGACACTGACCGTCCTGAACGAGACAAGATTACCTGTGTGTCCTTTAAGTTGATGAACCCTATACTAATTACACATTGGAAAAAGAAATGCCAGACTTCCACTACGAGAGAACTTAGCAAGTATTTCCATAGGCCTTATCCTGTGTTAAGTTCCATCATCATGAGCTGGGCAATTCTGTGAAAAGCCTTAGCTAGGATGATTTATGTTTGCAGTGGGCAAAAACTGGGCAATATTTCAGTCTGTAGCAACTGTGCATGCTTGGTGTCTTAATAAGTGCTACTTGTTGGCAGGGCATCTGCACATTTCCTCTTTCCTGGAGCTCTTGTGCAAGGTGTAGGAGTTTCATGACTGATGTCAAACACAAATTTACCAACCATCTGACATACGACTAGTTTAATACTACCCATAATACCAAGAGAAACTGCTAGACTGCTGAAATATAAGAGCTAATTTTGCTATATCCTGTATAGTAGGAAAAAACAGAGCAGCAGCAAGATGATACAATGGTATGACATTCAAATTCTGAGTCATTATTCCTGGTCATATCCATCTCTTAATGGTCTAGCAATAGGGCAACACAGACTAAGAAATGAGAGCCTCTTCTACACAGATTTTTTTTTCCCAATCCTCTTGTGAAGTTCTGGGGAAAAACGAAAAGATACTTGAATTTTAATCCTATGTTTTAGCCAGCAGCTTTTAGAAAATACATGAAAAGGCGCATTCTCCTGAATTTAAATATCTAACCTCATTTTTCTAAAATTCTTTTATTTGCTTCCATTATCAACTGGAACAACTTCTTATCAAGTCTCATTGAGTTCTGTCTAGCAACACATACGGTCCTAGTTGTGGGATGCAGTCCAAAATTTGTCTTTGGCCACAGACAAACAACTTGTTGCACTATCAGTTTATAAACTCTACATTGAGCAGTAAAATTACCTCAAGAACAGAGTCCTTCAGAAAGTCAGAAGCTTAGATGGGAGAGAGCCAAAGGCTTCAGCAGTGGCCAAAGGCTCAGAGTGGCTTCACTCTGGCTCCATCATCATGGATGCCAAAGGTACAAGAGCAGCATAGGTAGCTACCAGCAGACTTTAAACCACTACTATCCTTACCTCCTCTGGGTAAGGCAAGAGGGACAGTGCCCTGTTGCAAAACACAGCATTCGTGGGGATGTGGTCAGACTTCCTCAGCATCTGTTGATCTCGTCCCATTAAGGGAACCATGATATGCAATATCCTTCCTGCACAAACCTTAGCTGTGGTATAATTAGATCAGAGGAAAAGATTTAAAAAATAGCTACTTTACAGGATTTAAAATAATTCCCCTGCCCCACGCAAGAGGGAAGTCCTCAGCACGATAGGGAAGTGCAACCTCTTTGACTAAGCAGCCACAGCACCTCCACATGCTACTACAGCCAAGGAAAAACTTTTGCTGTTTTAGGAGTAAGCCAAAGTCCCCAAACTAACAATAGTTCTTCAGATTCCTCAGCCTATACTTCTTACACAAGCAGCAGCTTGTTCACAAATGTTCCAGAGCAATATCATCCATCTGACCTACTCTCAAGCACCAAACTCATGAAATGGCTTTGCTTGCTGACTACTCCAAGCATAACTGTAGCATTGCGTCCCTGCCCCGCTTAGGCCATACTCACAGAAACTGAAAGACACCTAAGGATATTTTTTCAGGTCATGAGAATTTTTCACCAGTCTTTACGGGAAGGTGGTTGGGACATCTCAGCAGACGATGATAACACGTTCCCTTACAAAACCCTTTCCAGTGAAGACAGAGAGAGACAGGTCTACAAAGATCATTGAATTGTTAAGGTTGGAAAGGACTTCTAGAGGTCATCTAGTCCAACCCCCCTGCACATACAGGGTCACCTAGTGCACGTGGCACAGGACTGCATCCAAGCGGGTTTTGAAGATCTCTAGAGAAGGAGACTCCACAACCTCTCTTGACAACCTGATATGGAGCATGTTTTTCTGCATTCTTCCATCTCTTCCCTACTAAGAGCATTTTTAGAGGAGAGGAACCAATGAGCATTTAAGGTGCAAAGCAAAGAGCCCTCATGGTGCAGTATAGAACATGAGTTGGTCTTGCTTGAGTAATTAATTCTCAACATAACTTTATATCCTACCACATTTGAGTGTGAAAGCAGCATGCTATTTAGAGCATATTGCTTCTTTGACCCTCTCCCAGACACTCCCTCTCCAGGTGTGTGGGGACATATCAGCACCAAAGCTGGGGAAATGAGGTTTTCACTGGTATGCAGGAAGCACAAAGCAGAACTGGAGCTGTGCAGATTTCCATGCCTATCTGCCTAGACTTATGCTTGAGGCTTGTTCCTCAGCTGGAGAGGTATTTGTCTCCACGCTCATTTAAAAAGTTAACTGTATGCAAAAGAACATGAATGCTATACAGCAAATTTGCAGCAATAGTACTGATATAATCTGCAATTAGTCAAAACTAAAAAGAAGAACTTGTTTAGGTGCCAGTGCGTGGGATTCATCCACACAGAAAGAAGGAACTTCAGCACATGAGCAAGTAACTCTCCCCTCCTCCAGTTTATAAGTATGGGCATGTTTAAAACTCACTTCTGAGTCAGTAACTGATGAACTCTTACACAACATCAAATAACGTAAGAACAGCACTGCTCATCTCTTGATAAGACCTGTTATTTGACTATCAGGAAATGAGGTTGGAATTTTCTACAGATGATAAAAGAACCATATGAGTCTTTATTTACATAACCAAAAACCCTGCTTTAATAATATAGCAGCAGTTAAGCTTCAGACAGTGAGGATTAATTCTGGAGCTAATTCTCATTTGCTATTAAAGCCCACAAATTATTAATTAGTGGCATCAGTTGCATTAATTGGATCAAAAACTAGAGAGTAAACTTACATAAGGCTGACAAATCAGTGGTTCTTGATGCAGGGGAAGACAGTCCTTGCAAAATTTCATTCAGTGAAGGGGCAAAATAAGACCATGAATCTTGGAAAAACTCTCTCAAGTGTTCTGAAGTGCAGGGTATTATTCTCCCTCCCAGCAGAGAAGCAAAAAAAAAGTGCATTTTCAGATCACAAACATCGTATTTGCCTAGCTATACAGATCTGACTTACAGCGTCCATCCAGCACTCACATCCAAGCCCACTTCAGTAAAAGAAACTCCTCCTGAGGTCTGAAGTCACGAACGCTGCTACTCACGGGCTCTGGATGTGACATGCTCTTGTGCAGCTTCGCTTAGTCTGCCATGAGCCTGCCCCCACTCAAAAATATTTTCCTGTGTCCTATTTTTAAAAAAATGATAAAAAATTCTCCCTCTTTCCATTCTTCTTGTTTCATTTATTTTTCCTCATAAAATGATTAACTCAATTAAGCATATCTCCAAAACACACGGCTGAAGAATTCTGCTACCAAGATGGGAATAAAATCTTTTTGCTCTCTGCTCCGCTGTGACTTGGGTGAGGGAGGGTTCCTACTTTCCTTTGTTGTCACATACAAAGCCAGGAGTGGGCTAAGGCTAAATTGTCTAACAGAAAGTGCCCGAGCCTTCCATTACCTCATCCCATAGTAAGGAACAAAACAGATATTTTATATTTTTCAGACCATCATGGCTATGCAGTCCTCTGCCTTCTTCAAACTCTTCTCCTTTAAATTACATTTCAGGCACCAAGCCTATTCCTTGCAGAAAGACAGCAAACCAACAGAAAAAAAAAAAAAAAAAAAACTGCTTCAGGAATTGGATTGCTTTACAGAGTCTTTGCAGGGAACCACAATTCTGCCTTTGTTATGGTCTCAGACACGTTATTTACCCTTCCAGAGTCCTCTCTCATACACTCCTGTTCCTCCACAAGCCTCCAACAAAACAAGAATAAATGAACGCATATACAAGATACACGGCAGATGAAATAAGTGATAGACTAGTGCCAGCACAACCTGTTGGTGGAAAAACTATCCCTGTACTGAAAAAAATACTATTTTTAACTTTGCTACTTCAAAAATGTAATTCACTATCTTGAAACACCAAAACCACGTGGTTTGGATAGCCCACATGCTAGAGTATAGCTGGCCCATTTTCCCAAGGAGGGACTTAGGCACAAGTTTCAAGAAGAGCACAGCTGGGATTAGTTATAGAAGGACTCATCAGGGAGAAAAGGGTAGCTCTAAACAGCCACCTGACCTTCTATAAAGAGGAAAGAAGAATCTAACCTGGCATGTCCAAAATGATGGTAATTTCCCATCTCTTCTACTAAACCAAATTACAATTTGTGTAAAGACAAGGAGGACTTCAGGGAAAATCACAGAACTTGACTGGACAAGAACATGACTAGAAGGTGAGCAAAAACAACCTTGCGGTTTTCCAGCCCAGGACAGAATATCTCCTGGGCTTCTTTAAGCGCCAATCAGTGGAGCTGAAAAAGCAGAAAGAATTGACAAAGAAAAAAAAAAACAGAATCTATGACAGTAATGTGCATCTTGTGCAATCTGTTCATTTCTTGTCTGTCTATAACCTGAACTAGATGCAAACAAAGAACGCACCTTCCAAAACTAAGAAAATCTCCTATTATCCTTTTCCTAGATAAAAGACACTAAGTTTACAGTTATTCAGTTTGCAGAAGCACTTTCAGAACACAGGACCTTATATTCACCTGTATAAGAGGGTCCAACACAAAAACCTTCTGAAGTTCCTTTGCCACAAAGCAAAACACATCACAGAAGAAAAGCAGTTTCATGACCCCATACTTGATGCGTTGTACAGCTTCCCTACAATACCCCTACCGACTTTAATCAGGTGCTTACATGGGAGCAGATGAGTTAAGTTTCAGGTGTCCATCAGCAGCATGACCAGCTCATGTTTTCCACCACAAGTCTAGTGACACTTGTTTTTCACCTTTAAGGCGTAAATTCTGGGAGTCATTTTTTTGTGTTATAAAAGTCTTAGCTTTCCATTTAAAGCAGTAAATTTTTACCCAGCACAGTTACAGAGTACACCTTGAAAGCACAGCCCCTTCAAAGCATAAAAGTAGAAGGCAAACATTATTTTAGAACTATACATGACATAGGCCAGTCACTTAGCCTGTAAGTATTTGTCACTATTAAAATGCTTCATATTTAGGTATACAGAGACTTAGAGCCTGTAGTCAAAGCAATAAAGCTGAACACAGTGGTAGCAGGGAGGATTATCCATTGCAGGGGGATCCCTCCTCCCTGCCTCTTCTTGTTACCCCCTTCACCTGTGCTGCTTCTCTGCAGATGGAGCTGAGCAGCAAGAGGGCACCTCAGGACAAGGAACCCTGAGTGAGGAACAACCACTGTCTGTTTTTTGTTTTTATTTTGTTTTGTTTTGCCTCAACACCCAGTTAAGCAGCTGTCTCTGTGAAACAGAATTTTTCTTACAAAAAGTTTCACACCTTGCGGCGAAAGGGAGGACAGACAGAGGTGCTGTACGCAATGCGGAGGAGGAAGAACCTCGGCGACTCAAGTAGCTCAGCTTGAACCAAGCCCTTGGGCGCAGTCTTAAACGGTCCCAGCAGGGCGAAGAACCACGTCCCCAGGGAGGACAAGCGCGACTAGGAAGCGAGGAAGCGGCCGGAGCCTCCTCCTACGCCCCGCGCCAGACAGGAGGAGGGAGAGGGGGAGGCGGCCGGGACCGCGGTGCCGCCTCCCGCCCGCCCCCGGCGCGGCCGCGGCCTCAGAAAAGCGCGGCGGGGCCGGGCCTCTTGGGAGAGCTGGTGCTGCTCGGTGTCGCTGCCGTCTCCTCAGCCCTGCAGGTAAGGTTGGAGAAACGATTGCCCAGCAGAGTGCCAGCCTTCCCCCCGCAGCCTCTGGCCCTCGGTGAGACTCTGCTGAGCTACCTTTGCGTGGCGCGTTACGGAGGTGGCCATGAGCGGCTCCGGCGGGTAGACCTGGTCACCTCTCGTGTGGTAAAGCAAGGTGTATTTAGGGTTGTGCTATGGAAGGATGCCCTAAAAAGGGGCTGTTTATGCCCCAACTTACAGGGACAGGAGGGAAAATGCAGAAGAGAAAAGTCTGGGGATTTTGATTTAGAATAATCTGAAAAGTATGCCCTCATTCAAATCCTTCTCTGATGACTTCTTTCAGTATTGCTTCTTGAAAAAGGCTAATGAAGCAAGGTAGCATATACATAACCAGGGCTTTGTAGACACAGATGATGAAATTATTTCTGTATGTTCAAGTAAGATAGACTATTTTCTTGAATTATTTTGAGGGTACTCATTTATGCCATGTAAAGTATACTATAGTTGATGGTTTTTTTTTTTCTTTTCTTTCTTTTTTTTTTTTAAACATTTCTTCCCTCCAGGATGAGGATCCTTATTGTTGGAAGACTTCATTTCTACCTCATTTCTCTTTTATTCAGTATTTTATTCAGTACAGCAAATGGACTTCTAACTTGGAGATCATCTAGAATGTTTTTTCAGTTTTATGACTATTCTTATTCCAACTTCTCTTCTGTATCAGAAGCCCAAGCTCCCCAAACCGCAAGAGTTCTCAATTTATCACATAACATGATTGAAAATATAACCAAAAGAGACTTTGAAGGTTTTGATGCACTGGAAGTTTTAGACCTTGCCTACAACCAGCTTAAGTATGTTGAACCTGGTGTGTTTGAGAATTTACTCAACCTTGTTTCTGTCAATTTTTCATTTAATGATAAGCAACTTGATGTACTGGGTCTTGCATCTCGTCTAAAACTACTACCAACTAATGAAGCCTCCAGGATTTTACAGCTTTCCAAATACTTTGAAATATCATCAGAGCCTGCTCAGGAGTCTCCTGTGTCTGCCCAAGAACTGCAACGTTCTGAAGGTCCAGCTGATCAGCTACCTGTTAATGCGAGGGTCAGACGGAGTAATGGGGATTCCCAGAGAGCCGAGAAAAATGTAACAGTCTCTCCAATAGCTGGACTAATGACCAACGTCTGTGGAACACCAATAAATGGAATACTCGATCTGTCAGAGAGGAAACTGTCTGAGGAAGAATTGCAGGAAAAACTGCAGGCTGATCTTTGCCAAGCTCAGCTAGATAGTGTTTTAGAACTTAACATTAGTCACAACAACCTGGAAATTGATCTTTTATCGCTGTTCGTCTTGTTTTTACCAATGAAAAATGTACAGTCTATTGATGCTAGTTATAACAAAATAACAATTAACAACATTGATGTTGAAGCGATTTGTCACTTCCCATTCCACAATCTCTTCTTTTTAAATATTAGTAACAATCCCATGAATAGGTTGGATACAGTATGTCTCCCTTCAACCATTAAGGTAATTGATTTGTCCTTCACAAATATAAGTCAAATACCTAAAAATTTTGCTAAAAAATTGTTTAACCTGGAAAAAATGTATGTAGAAGGAAATCATTTCATATATACTGTAAGTCCAGAAAATGCTGATGCAAATCAAAAACCTAAACCTGGAACTGTACGAATTAATGCAATTTCATTAGTTAGAAATGAAGCTGGTACACCCATTGAAAGCCTTCCAGAGAAAGTAAAACACTTAAAAATGTCTAACTGCTCTATTGTAGAACTTCCAGAATGGTTTGCTGGCAGGATGACGAAATTAATGCTTTTAGATCTCAGCAGTAATCCTGTTTCCACATTTCCTCACTTGCCTACCTCCATGCAGCATCTGGACATAAGTAACAGTGATATTAAAGTAATACCACCTAGTTTTAAGTTCCTTTCTAATTTAACAATATTTAATGTTCAGAATAATAAAATCACAGATATGCCTCTTGAATATTTCCCATTAACTTTAACAAAATGTGATATTAGTAAAAATAAATTACAGGTGTTGTCATTAACTGAAACCCTAAGGAAACTTGAATATCTTAATGTTTCTGGAAATCAAATAACTACCCTGGAGCCAAGGAAGCAACTTTCTGCAATCACTAACCTAGACGGCAGTCACAATTTAATTGCAGAACTCCCTGATCACTTTGGGGAAATTCTTCCAACACTGAAATATCTTAATCTATCAGGGAATAAGATTTCCTTTCTACAAAGTGGATCTCTCCCAGTTTCTCTGATTGAACTAGACATTAGCAACAATGCCATTACTACAATAGTAGAGGACGCTTTTGGCCAGCTCACAAGCCTGAGTGTTTTGACTGTTCCAGGTAAACACTTTTTTTGTAACTGTGATTTGTACTGGTTTGTGAATGTATACATCCATAATCCCTACTTGCAGATAATTGGAAGAGAAAATCTCAGGTGCAGCTTTCCACCAGACAGAAGGGGCCTGCTGGTTGAGCACAGTAACTTAACGCTTCTGCATTGCTCCCTGGGTGTTCAAATGGCCATTACAGCCTGTGTCGCTGTCCTCATCGTCTTGGTGCTAACGGGCTTATGCTGGCGTTTTGACGGCCTGTGGTATGTGAGAATGGGCTGGTACTGGTGTATGGCAAAAAGAAAAGAGTATGAGAGGAGACCAGAAAACAAGCTCTATGATGCCTTCATTTCATACAGCAACGAGGATGCAGATTGGACAAAAGAGAATCTGCTGGAAAAACTGGAAGCTAAGGGGTTCAAGGTATGTTACCATGAGAGAGACTTTATACCAGGGCATCCTGTGCTTGGCAACATTTTTTACTGTATAGAAAACAGCCATAAGGTCATCTTTGTTCTGTCTCCCAGCTTTGTAAACAGTTGCTGGTGTCAGTATGAACTGTATTTTGCTGAACACCGGGTCCTGAATGAAAATCAAGATTCCCTCATTATGATTGTGTTGGAAGAACTTCCTTTCAACAGTGTGCCCCAGAAGTTCAGCAAGCTCAGGAAGCTGCTGAAAAGAAAAACCTACTTGAAGTGGAGCCCTGAGCAAGCCAAACAAAAAGTTTTCTGGCATCAGCTAACAGCAGTCCTGAAAACAGCCAATGAACCACTTGTTGTGAGAGCAGAAAATGGAGCTGCTCACAATACATATGAGATGGAATGAGATTACAAGAATTTCTAAGACTGTGCCTGGAAAATCAGCAGACAAATAAAAGCATTTCAGTGTTTGTTTTCTGCAAAGCCTCCTGTGTTCAATTTGGGGGATGGTCACAGCAGATCTATCCTATTAGAAGTTATTACTTAGTTTGCAGCATGCATGTTATTCCACCTGGGCAGGCGAAAGGGAAAAGTTATCTAAAGAGCTCAGTTATTACTTAGTTTGCAGCATGCATGCATGCATTCCACCTGGGGAGGCAGAAGGGAAAAGTTATCTAAAGAGCTGAGACAGCTAAGACCTAAACGCAGTATCTTTTCAAGATTTAAACTCCAGCTCCTCCCCAACACCAAGTTGATCTCCAGCTGCCCACACGTCTGGTGTATATATAATGTTGGTAACGTTCTCCTCACATTAGTGTAACTCCCACAAAGATTAGAGGTAAAAAGCAGTGCTTGCTTTATCTAGGACAGTATTCCATGTGGGACAGCAACCTTCAAGAGAAGTTAACAGTAAACACATGCTGGACAATCTGTTCGATCATGATGGGTTCACCTTAATCCCAGAAAACCAAAATTGCTTTAATTCCAAACCAATTTAAAGCTTTTATATCCATTTTAAAATATGTTGGCATTAACTATCAGACTCCCAGTATTCCTACTACCCATGTAAATGCAAACTACCTGTTAAACCTGACCAGTTTTCTCTCTCAACAGCTCTTCAGCAATGAGTTCCACACAGTAAGGAGGGGATGCAAGAAACTTACATTTTATGAGTCTTGAATTTGCCACCTTTCATACTCACACAACGCTTTCTTGTTTTATGAACTGGACTTCCATTAACTTCAAGCCTTCTTCTTCTAAACCATTCACTATTCACACACTTTTATCACTGACTCTCCCATTCACCTCTTCTCATAAAAACTTCCCCTCTCTTTCCTCAATCATTCTGTTGCTCCTTGTCTTAATTATATTGCTTTTTTTTTTTTAACCTTGCAATCCTGCTTTACCTTTTATTGGCTTGTACGCAGTAAAAGACAGTGCTGCTACAGGAAAAAAAAAACAACACAGAAAATATGAGATACACTGCAAAAGATTCAAAGCAGGTCAATTTTACCTTGTGCTAACTGATACCTCAGTTTATGATTCACTTCCATGAAACTGTGGCTACCTATTTTTCAAAGCCAATCTCTGTTCTGTTTGCTACATTCCTCAAAATGCAGTTATTTAACACAATTGACCACTTAATTCAGACACTGTTCTCATATCTGACACTACAAGGATATACTTTAACACTTTAGAGGTACAGGAATGCAATCTGCTCCAACAGTTAAGAGCACAGAAACATGACAAAGTGCTTTGAAGGGACCCCAGTCCTTTTCTTTTACAAGGCCAGTAACACCCTTTCTATTCCCTTCTCATTTGACTCCCACTTGAATAGTCAATGCAAATTATTTCTGTGGATAAGGTGAGAACGATTTAATTTCCCATTTGATGAGGTTTGTGTGCAGCATGGAGCCTTGCACACACACAGAGCAGAGGCAAGATCCAGTCTTAATGCACAGCTTAAGCAACCTCAAAGCCCAAAAAGGAGCCCAGCTCGCAATCATTCATCAAGGTCCTGCCCTGGCCTCCTTCCAAACTGAAGCTGCAATCACTGCAGACAAAACCCATATATTTTTTTTCCTCCAAATTGGGAGATTCAGCACTAAAAAGAAATGCAAAGACATTAAAAAAAAAGAGAGAGAACTTTTAGTTATCTTTTATAACTACTTTAGAAAGAACCATGTTATTCACAGAGAAGAATATCAAGGTGGAGAGACGGGGGAATGGGCGAGTTATTGAAATGATTTCAATTTTACATTTGTATCAGAAAGTTGTTCACATACATCTTTATTGCAAGAAAGCTGTCTTGAATTATTCAAAATTAATTAAAATTCAGTGTATTAAACAACACTGGTCAAAAGTGTAATACTCTTCCAGGAAAAACTTGAAAACAGTTTAGTTAACAAACTACCTAAACCACAAATAATTCACATACTGCAAAGACTCAAATGGGTTTTGTTTCTAAAATAATAAATCATCTTATTGGAATCCATAACCGTAACTCTGCTAAAGCTGTGACATCTTCCTAAAAAGTGAGGCACCTGGCTCCGCATTCAGGCACCCAAGTCAGCAGTACACTTCAGAGATACTGACGTCCACAGAAGCAGAGGGGTGATTGTATGTGTTGAAAAATTTGGCTACTTAAAATGATGATTGTTAGGAATATAAAATAATTGCCTCCAAATCGTTGTTTCATTAGGAATTTTCAACACCACATGACACAATTAACACAAATTGTCACATTAATATATAAAAAACCCAACAGTGTTATCACTGTGTTGACGAACATATAAAGTAGACAAATTATTAATATTTAAATCAAGTTGTCATTAGAATTTTAAAACATTTTACTACATAGAAAATCTCAAAAAACGTGTAGCTATTTTGTTACTTGATCATCCTGTTTTTAAACATGCTAACAGCTGTAAGCTCTTCCTCTTAGAAATACCACCACTGAATCCCTGGAAATTCACCTTTAAATCCACTATAAAGTCATAGACAGAAAACAATCTGCAACACTCTCTGTTTTATTACAAAATTTCAGAGGTAACTGCATTACTAATACATGTCAGTACTAGAATATTGCAGCAATAATTTATATTCTCAAATAAGTATTGCACAGTTATTTGTATCAGCTGAAAAAAATAAATATTCTGGGGTATATAATGGCACAATTCTTAAAATAAATGTACAGCAGAAATTAAGAGACATTTTTTAAGGTTTATTACAGTGCCACAATACCTCTCAAAAGTCCTTCCCTATTAGCAATGTATTGCTATTGGTAAATAGCCTAGTTCTGCTTTAGAGAGCTCAGGTTGAAATTCTTCCCAGAAGATGAAGTTCACCAAAATTTTGCTCTTTACCTCAATGAAATTGAGAATTTTATCCTGGGATAAAGAAAACTTTTGTTATTACTGATACTTGTTAAATCAAAAATAATGTTACTGTTTCAAAAAAATAAGTCTTTCAAACTTCTGCAATGAAAACTGGTTTAAACCTAGGTACCATAATACCAAGCGTCCTCCACAATTTTCTTTCTTGAAAATGTAGCAAGTGCACAGTTTAACAGATCCTGGATTCTTTCTCTGAGAGTTTGCCTCATGACAAAATGAATCATGTACTTCTAGCAGTTTTACGCTCTCACGTAACAATTCTGAAAGCAAATCTAAAATATGCCCTTTAGGACTTGCCACACTATGTCAAGAAAGCATCATGGAAGCAATATCCTAGTATTTACTTCAAATGCAAATAGCTGGATATTAACACTAAAGGTATTTTTCCACTGGCAACTGTATAGCAATACTGCATCTCTGAGTTTAGAATAATCATTAATAAATGCACAGAAGGGGACCCACTAAATTGCAATGGTTCTCACTGCTGAACTTGAGGTTACACCGAGGGCACTGGTATGTGCTTGGTGGAAGCGCTGTCGCAATCCCGCAGCAGGTCGGTGGTGGCATGATAATGCATGGCAATGTAGGATTTGGCAAATCCGAACGTCGAGTTCACTGGCTGGAGGCTATTTGGGGTGCTCACCTCTTGGGAAGGGCTGCTGTTATAGATACTATAGTAGGGCTCGATACGGGTGTTCATGGGCGTCGAGCTGCTGTGCGCGTAGTGCTGATGCCCGGCAGAAGCCTTCGGACTCAGCATGCTTTCCTTGGAGTGACTAGGGCCACAGGCCTGGTCCACAAACTTTTTCTGAGGTTTTGGAGACAACATGTAAGCTGAATTGGTTTCATGGTGGGATGACTTATTCCTGTTGACCTCCAGGCTCCCTTTGCCCATGGCTCGAAGCCTTGTCTTCTGCTTGCAGCAGAAAAAGACAAGGGCTACGTACTGCAGGCACCAGAGGACTCGCCTCCGCAGTCCAGCGCTGTTGCGCGAGTATATGAAAGGATTTAATCCAGATTTGAAAAATATGAGGGTAAACCCACACAGCTCAAACTGGTAGAGCACGAAGCCCCCGCTACTGGAGAGCGTGTCCTGCACCAAGGAGATGCCCAGGGGGAGGCAGCAAACCAAGACGGAAAGCACAATGACCACACATGTCACCACCGCCCTTGAGTCCTTGGCTGCGGACAGGTTGAGGGCCGGCACGAGCTGGAGCCCGGCGGGGGCCGGCGGCTGCCCGTAGCCGTGCGCACGCAGGGGCTGCGCCTTGCTCTGCGCCTGGTTCCTGTACAGGGCAGGCGCCTCGCAGCCCCTCTGAGGCGGGGACCCCGGCGAAGGGCTGTGGCCGGGAGGCATCCGCTGTCACCACGGGGGGACACTTCCTTACGCGGGCGTTCCTCCGCAGGGCCTGCGCAATCATGACATAGGAGACGGACACCACCGCCACGCAGCAGATGAAATCGACCACATACAGGTAGAGGATGATCCTCCCGTCACCGCTGGCGAAGCTGGACATGGGGAGGCAGAGGTGGGAGCGGCGGGTCTTGAGGGTGGCCAGGGTGGCCAGGGTGAAGCTGGTGGCCCAAAGGAGCAGCGTGAGGAGCAGGGTGCAGGGGAAGGAGGCCGTGCGGTGGGGCTGCTTGCCCAGCACCATGCGCAGCCGGTGCAGGGCGATCACGGCCACCGTCTTGAGTGACATGATGATGAAGCCGGAGCCGGCAAGGTGGAAGGCGAAACAGAAGGCGCCGGGGACGCCCCTGGCCGAGCCGAAGAAGAGCACGAAGGCGAACATGGGGGCGGCCACGCCGCAGAGGAAGAGGTCACAGAAGGAGAGGTTGAGGACCATGAAGTCGAAGTTGGTCCTGAACTTGCGGAGGGCCGGGTCGAAGAAGGACAAGAAGACGATGAGGTTGCCGTAGGAGCCCAGGCAGAAGACGGGCGCCAGCAGGCAGGCGCACGCCACGAGCGTGGCCGTGTGCGCGGCCTCCCGCGGCTCCGCGCCGCCCTCCGCG